CCCTTCCCACCTGCACTTCTCAGCCACCGGTTCCTCGCGACCCTGGATGCACTCACTTAGGTAGAGGGTCCGTGCGGGCCCCAAGCGGCTGCGGCGTCGGCGAGTGGCGCGTCTGTCGCTCGCTCAGTCCCGGCGGCCCCGCTCCGGCGCGTCCCTCCTCGGGCCCCAGCAGCAGCGCCTCCACTTCCGGTTTCCCTGCCACTCAGGCAAATGGCTTCCGGAAGTCCCGCCCCCATCTTGCCGAGCCCTGGCGTGGCCCCTCTCTCCCCACTTTCACTCTCCGAGGGCGCAGGCGACTTACGCTGAGGTGTCCCGTTCCGCCCCGCTGGGTTTCCTGCTTTGTTCTCTCTCCTGCCCTCTTTTCGTATGTAGTCTGCACGACTTAGGGGACCTCTGCCTTTCCTCCAGTTGCATCTCTCAATCCTGAGTTCGTGTCACCGCGGTGTGGAGATGGCATTCGGGACAATGTAGCGTGACCTCACATTGACGCCATTCCCTTCCCATCCTGCCAACCTGGCTTCCTCCTCCACCCCATGGAATAAACCAGATTGCTGAAAGTGGGAGGACGCCGAGGTTAATGAGGCAGTCCCCGACATTTATGAGTGGAATTTCTGTTACTGCGATGAATGTACGGATTTTAGGTGACCGCCTCTTAAGGTGATACCTTAGGGAGATGGCGATCCAGGTCTTTTTCTTAAACATGCATCCAGTTTAGGGGAACGCATACATACACAAAGTCAATATTGAAAGATTACGTGCTAATACTAGATAAATGCGGGATCTGTAAGAACAGAGAGGAGGGGCAAGATATGCATTCGGGCTTGTAGTAGCGAAATGTTTGGTGCAGCGGTCCTCTGAGCTGGCCCTTTAAGGATGGATAGGATTCATTCAGACGTATGCAGACAAATAAGCACAGCCTTCCACTGCTCTGAAATCGATCAGGCGGTTTTGATTTTGCTGACAAAACCTGTTAAGAATACTATAAAATCCTGGGAACCTAAAGTGTCAAGATATATCAAATTATTTTTTCAGGTCACCTGTGCTGTCAGTGGTGCTAAATTTGTGTTATTTTAGGCATACATAATCTAAGATAATTTTGGCCTCATATGAAATAATTTTTACATTGCTAATTTACCTGAGAATTTTCTTGCAGATGTTTGCACAATACATGGCACACCACTAGGTGCTCAGTGAATATTTTTTATTTATTTATTTATTTTTTATTAAAAGATGACCGGTAAGGGGATCTCAACCCTTGGCTTGGTGTTGTCAGCACC